TTCATCTTTCTTTGTCCTTATTTATAAAGTCTTTTTAAATTTGCATTTGGTTGGGTTTTATTTTTTACTTTGTCTGAAATTTTGTCTTTTTTCTATCATTTATTCTACCTATATGTAATATAATAGCTAATCCCAATTATTTAAATCTAAAATCACCATTTCCTTTCAGTTTGTCTCACTTCTTTGATTTTGTTCTTCTTTTTATCTAGGTTTGTGCTAATTGAAATTTGCTCTTTGTAACCATTTTATTTCTTTCTTTTATTATCTTGGCTACTACTTTTGTTTCTTTATTTTGTGATTACACAGGAAATTAGAACATATATATTTTTACTTACAAAAACCTTATATAAGATGGTTTATTCACTTTTTCCTAGGCATTTCATGGGCCTCGAAATGCTTAAACTCCATTTACCACACTCATGTCTTGTAAGCTGCCAATTTTGTATATTTTAATTGTAAGTGCAGGTATGCATGTATGTGTATAAAACCTCAAGATACATTTGTCATTTTATTTTTTTCCAGTCAATATTCATTTAGATATATCCAAATGATTAACTTTCGGTACTCTTTTTCTCCTTTCTTCATATACTAGATTATTTTATTTTCTTTAAAGAATACTCTTTAGAAATTCTTTTATTGAGTTACTGTTATAAATATTTTATTCACTTCTGAAAATTTTTTCTATTTCAGAAGAATATTTAACAGTTTTATTTTTCAGCACTTTAAAAATATTATTTCAATATTTTCTGTCTTCCATTGTTTCTGTTGAGAGGTCTGCTGTCAGTCAAGCTGTGGCTCTTTTCAAAGTAATTTGACTTTTTGCTCAACTGCCATTCAGATTTCCTTTGTCCTGGGTCCTCAGTTGTTTTACCATGATAGGTCTAAGTTTCTTTTCATTTGTTTTACTTAGAACTCATTAGTAGTTTGTATTTGTATTTAGGCACTGTCTCTTCCAATATCATTCTCTTTCTTATATTCTTTCTACTTTTCTTTTATGCCTTAGCATGTATGTTAGAACTTCCCATTTTGCATCTTTCATTCTCTCTTCTGTTTTTCTTCAGTTCATTTGTCTATGCTGCACTTAAGACATTTTTCATTGTACCTAATCACTAGTGTACTAATTATCATTTTAACTGTACCTAATATGCAATTAAAGCTATATATTGAGTTCTCAATTGTGGTAATTATATTGTTAAACTTCAGACTTTGCCTTAAATGTTGAAATATATTTATTTATAGCTCCCAGTTGTTTATTTACTTATTTTTTATCCTAATTCCAGTTTACTGGATCAGGTATCAGCAAATGCACTGAAGTAAAACAGGCTCTAGATGCTAGGCTTACCTCTCTATATTTCTTTTTTGTCTTATGCTTTAGTCTGATAAATTCTCAGTGTCTTACTAGCTCTTCAATGACTTCAAGCATAGATAGATAGATAGATAGATAGATAGATAAATAGATAGATAGATAGATGAAATATATACATATTGGCTTTCATTTTTTCAACCAGAATTTTTTTTAGGGTTTTCAACAAGATATTTAATTTAAATTATCTATTCGTCATTACCATTATTAGAAATCCAGTTGATGGGCTTTCACTGCCTTTCTATTGTTACTGATCTAGGCAAGATTTTCACCTTTTCTTGAATCAATTTGATCAGTTTTTGTTGTTGGTGTTGTTTGTTTTCTTGAGACAGCGTCTTGCTCTGTCACTTAGGCTGGACAATCACAGTTCACTGCAGCCTGAAACTCCTGAGCTCAAGTGATCCTCCCATCTCAGTCTCTGAAGTAGCTGGGACTACAGCAGTGTACCACCATGTCTGACTTAGTTTTTAAAAATTTTTGTAGAGCCAAAGAGTTAAAGACCAGCCTGAGTGACATAGCAACCATTCAAGTAATCCTCCCACCTTGGCCTACCAAAGTGCTGGGATTACGGGCACGAGCTACCACACACAAACTATGTATTTGATACTTTTTTTGATCTCTGCTCTTATTGTTATTTTCTTTCTTCTCCTTACTTTGAGTTTAATCGCTCTTCTTTTTCTGCTTTCTCAGGGTGGAAGTTTAGATTATTGATTTGAGATTTTTCTTTTTTTCTGATGTAAGAATTTAGTGCTATAAATTTTTTTCTCATCACTACTCCATGTCTCACAAATTTTAATATGCTATGTTTTTCATTTCATTTATTTCACTGTATTTTTAAAACTCCTTGATATTTATTATTTGATTCATGAATAATTTTAAATTGTATTGTTTAGTTTCCAAGTAGTGTGGTGATTTGACCATTATAATTCTGTTATTAGATTATCATTTAATTGTACGATTGTCAGAGAACACACTTTATATGATCTCAATTATTTTGAATATTTTCATGTTTGTTTTATGATCTAGGATATGACCTATCTTAATGTATGTTCCATAACTACTAGAAAAGAAAGTATATTTTGTTGCTTTTGGTAAAATGATCTATAAATGTCTAATAGAAACTATTGATATTTTCCATAACTTTGCTCATTTCCTATCTAGTTGTACTATCAATAGTTGAAAGAGGAATGTTGAAATCTCCAATTGTAATTATGGGTTGCCTACTTTTCCTTTTCAGTTCTATCAGTTTCTGCTTCACATATTTTCAGCTCCATTCTATGGTGCATACATATTTAGGATTGTTATATCTTTCTTCTTATTGCATTGATCCATTAATCATTCTGTAATGTTCCTCTGTAACCCTAGTATCTTTCTTTGCTTTGTGATATGGTTTGGCCCTGTGTCAAACTGTAATCCTCAGTGTTGGGGAAGTTATCTGTGGGTGGTGACTGGATCATAGAGGTGTATTTGCCTCTTGCTTTTCTCATGATAGTGAATGCAGTCTCACAAGATCTGGTTGTTTAAAAGTGTGTAGTCCTTCCTTCACTCTCTTTCTCATGCTTCAGCATGTAAGATGTGCCTGCTTGCCCTTTGCCTTCCACCATGATTAAGTTTCCTTCCCAGCCATGCTTCCTATACAGCCTGCAGAAGCATGAGCCAATTAAACCTTTCTGTATACATTACCCAGTCTCAGATAGTTGTTTATAGAAATGTGATAATGAACTAATACACTTTGAAATCTATTTTATATGATATCAATATAACCACCCACTTTCTTTTTATTAATGTTTGTATGGTATACCTTTTTTCTATACTTTTGCTTTAAAACTATATTTGAGGCAAATTTCTTATGTACACCATATGAAGAGCTTGTTATTTTTGTCCATGCTGCTAACCTCTATGTTTCAGTTGGTGTATTTAGTCCTTTCATAATTAATATAATTTTTGGTATTTTAGGGCTTAATTCTTTCTCTATTTTCTGTTTGCTTTCTGAGTTTCCGTGTCATTGTCCTGTCTTTTTGTGGATTCAGTGCACATTTTATGATTCCATTTTGATTTATATGCAGTGGCTTTGAGTTCATATCTATACATAGTTTTAATGAAGGTTTCAGACACTATATAATATATGGGTAACTTATCAGAGTCCACTAGTATCATTATTTTACCAGTCTGAGCAAACAGTAGAAATATTATCTCTCTTTACACTTATTTATCCTGATACATTCATTATATAACTTTCTTAAAAGTTTTGTCTACATACAGTGAGAAACACATTATACAAACACAATTTAGAAAACTAAAAAGAAGACATTTCTATGTTATTTACCTATATATGTTCTCATTTTCATTTTCTTCCTAATGTTCCAAAAGTTATTCTCTTTGTGTGTGTGTGTGTGTGTGTGTGTGTGTGTGTGTGTATGTGTTTTATTTTATTTAGTTAAGAGAACTTTATTTTGCTACTCTCTTAAGGTAGTTCTGCTGGTGGCTAATTCGCTTAGCTTTCTTTTATCTTAGAATATCTTAACTTCCCCTTTGTTTTTGGATTAAGATTGATTTCAGAGGGTAACATCAGCAGGAATAACAGAATAATGATGTCCAAAATTGTATTCCTTTACAAAAGCAATGAAAACACTGACCAAAAAAGGTGAAATAAATATTTTCAGTACTCTGAAAATTAACCAAACCCAAGATGTATATATTCAATAAAAGCATTGAGTTAAGATTGAGGTAAGGACAGGAAACTGTGGCATTTTAACTGACCATTGTCCTACTCTTTTCTCTCTCTAGATCTACAGAACCTTTTAAAACAAAAGTCCTCACAATCAACGTAGGCATCAAAACCAGCAGCTTCATAGCCATTGGTAGGGGCAGACAGGTTTTGGGTTTGGACTACTTAAAAAGTCCTATAGCCACTGAACTGTCATTATCTGACTTATCTGGAAGTTCCCTGGAAACCCTTACTTGCACGAATTTTCTTAATTTTTTTTTTTAATACTCAGAGCTCACCCTCTAAAAACAGGTGAACTCTGGCAGAGCATTTCTCCATGGCATTTATTGGAAACAATTAGTGGTAATTGTTTAACATTGCAGCTGCTTGAGGTGGGATAACAGCTGGGATAAATAAGAAGCTGACCAAAAAAAAAAAAAAAAAAAACAAGGGGAAAAAAATGTAGGAAAAGAGTTGTTCATAGGAGATATTTTTAAAGTTCTGACATATTCCTGGGAATCTATAATGCCACATACAGTTGGCTAGGAAATGCCCAGAAATATTTGAGAAGGCTCTATTTTTCAACTTTAGCCAACTTTGAGAATCTCCCCAGGCAGGAATAAAAAGGAAGGCAGAGTTGCAAACTCCTTGCAAAGCATTGAAGACACACCCCAACACATACAAAACCCCTTTGAGAAGGCAGGAAAAATTCTTTGTTCAATGCATTTAGGAAAATCTCAGTTTAATCATAAGCTGGACAATAAGCTTAACTGTCCACACAGGACAAAGAACAGAGATATCACAGAATTAGTCATGAAAAGTAATTAAACAAATAGCCATAAAAATAACAAACAGCAACAGCAACAACCCTGGGAAAGGTGGAAGAAAATTCGATTTCCAAAGTTGCCACATTATTTAACTAAATATTTAGTGCTTGTTTTGGCTGCATCTTTACTAAAATCAGAATGATACAAAGAAGATTAGCATGGCCCCTGCACAAAGAGGATATGTAAATTTGATTTTATGATTTTGTGTGTTAATTTGACTGTGATGATCATTACACAATGTATGCACATATCAAATCATCACATTGTGCACATTGAATATATGTAGTCTTTTTCAATTAAATATTTAAAAATAAAGAAAAAATACATATATATATATAAAATATTGAAAATTGTAAGAGATACAAAAATATGAGAAAGTATGGCTTATACACAGTAAAAATACCAGTCAATAGGAACTGGCCTGGTGAAACTCAGAAGTTGGCCTTACTAGAAGAACTTTAAACAGACTCTAAACCAGCTACTTAAAATACACTCAAAGAATTGAAGAAAACTATGTCTAAATGACTAAAGGAAAATACGAGAATGAAGCATCACTAAAGAGAGAATATAAATCAAAAACTAAAAACAGAACAAATAGATAAATTTATTGGTTTAATTATCAATAGGTCAATATTTATAACAAATAAATAAAAGTTACTTTGGGAGAATATGACCATAAATATTAATAATTTATCAATAGACAAATTATTGAGCTGAAAACTATAAGAACTGTCCTGATTATATTAAAAATGAAAAGCTCAGAGCTAGACAATCCAGTACTGGTTTATTCTTGGATATTTTTATCTGTCATCACCTAGGACCCCTGGAAAGACAAGTCTGAAACCAAGGCTGGTATGTAGGATGTTTATTTGTGAGCAGGAATGGCAAATGGAGGGAGCGTATATCCAGAGAAGGGAATGACAACACTGGACAATCTTGCTTTATTCATATAAAATCACTATGGATCACCTCTTGGAATGTTCCATGGGCTGCCAGATAAGCCTTTTGAAACATATATCAGTACTCTTTGACAGACAGAAAGAGAGAAAAGAAAGAGAAAGAAAGAGAGAGAGAGAGAAAGAAAGAGAAATAGAGAAAGAAAGAAAGGAAGAAAGAAAGAAAGAAAGAAAGAAAGAAAGAAAGAAAGAAAGAAAGAAAGAAGGAAAGGAAGGAAGGAAGGAAGGAAGGAAGAAAGGAAGGAAGAAAAAGAAATGAAAGAAAGAAAAAGGATAGCATGGATCTATTGGCTACATTACCCATTGAAAAAGCTATTTTTTATTCCCAGCACGTGTTAACTCTTTACATATACCACCACTGACAATTCTGGGTTGCACTTCCTTGAGTGCTGAAGAAGTTCCTATTAGTTTCCCATATGAAGGTAATGATTAGAGATTCTGTAAATCAGGAGGGAGAGGTACACTGCAGGCTTCACCAAGCTGTTCCATTGTACCTGAGCAAAGTTAGTCTTCTAGCAATGGCTGGAATAATAGAAGAATGCATGGAGGTGTTCAACAGAACACTGATGTCTTAGATTCCTTCCATCTTTTTCTTCTCCATCCTTCCTATGTAGCTTCCATTGTCTAGAACTACTTGAAGTCAGAGGGTCCAGACATGTTGCAAAAACCATAGGCTAATAAAAGTAAGAAGGAAAAAGGGAGGCTGGGTGATGCAGTTTTTCAGCTTGGCACATACAGTAATTCGGAGCCTGTGTTTGTAAGGGGGTGGGGGGAAAGGAGGAAAATGGAAATTGGCAATCTCTGTCACAACTCTTAGGGAAATTTTGAAATAGGGACAGGACACCTTTGTGCCTTTAGCCTTCGTTTTTAAACTTATTTTATCTATGGTCATATTTTCCCAAAGTAACTTTATTTCTTACCCTCACCTCTTACAAATCCAAAATGGCCAGAACTTACCTCAAGATTGTTGACCTGCCTGGTATCCTCTTCAATCTTATATAAGTGACATTCATTTTAATAACAAGTTGAACTCATTATGCAAATTGCACAATTCTATTAGAATATTGTGAACCCATGTAAATGCTATTAGTTCCACAAATGAACTACTCTATGTGAAACTGCTTAGAAAACTATAAAGCGCTTTACAAATGGAAGAAAAATTATAATGTCCAAGAGAGAAAAACATTATACTAAACTGGAATCATAAAATGCTAAAGTACCCACTGATGCAGTTCCAATTCGCAACTTCGCCCCTTTTTGTGTGAAAAGGTAAAGGAAAGCAAAGTGTGTTCTTTGTAAATCCCATTTCTATGACTAATGTCCTTCTATAGCTAACGTGTAATTTTCTTTCTCTGATTTGTTTTCTCATCTTACCCTACATATTTTCTATCCCTTCTGTCTTCTTAGAAGTGCTGCTTTGTTGAGGGGGGAGGTTGGGTTTTGCAAGAAATTTTAAAATATGCCGTTAATGACTGAATGGACAACTAATTACTTGCTAAATGCATTAACACAAATCTGGGTCTGAAATTGCTTTGGAATTAATTTGGGACATATGTGCACATCCTTGCTTATATTTGCAAGGGGCATGGTACATGGATTTGCATTTGTATATGAGAAAGTCTTTTCCTTTTTTACACAAACCTGGCTACAAGGAAGAAAACTCATTATCAGGTTTATCTTGCTTTTCAAACTCTATTACTAAAAAAAGATAAATTCCTAAATTATGCTCCTCATACATTGATTTCATTCTCTTTCACTTGTTCTTTCCCTGCTGCCCACACACATACACACACACCCCAAATGTAGACTGTGTACATAGGTAGGAGGATTAGAAATAAACTACACACCAAGTGAACAAACACAGCAGTTTCTATTCAATGGATCACTATAGTAATTATTCCCTAGATCTAGCTGATTTTTAAAACAAACAAACAAAAAAAAAGCTTTTCTTTCTGTATTCTCAAATTTCATTTCTTCCTATTAAATACTGAGGACTACTAGTTATTATATTCTTAACATAGAGACAGAATTTTCACTTTAGTTCAAACACAAGCTCTGGTATAAACTGCTTTTTAATGGCAATGATGATTTTAAGTGCTCACCTATAGATATTTTGAATATGCAGCTATTTCCTCTGATGGAAATTAGCCAGCAACAGGGTTTCATTAGCATTCACATTTGCAGATAAGTATTATATTTTCCTAGACATTTTTTAAAACTTAGCTCTTGGATGATGACACTGCCAAAAATATATGGCCAATTTATACATCAGACAGGATCAGAGACAGATTATTCCTTAACTTGGCACAGAAGCACTTGCTTCTCTGAAAACTAGGGCTTCCCTCTTTAGGGAGACACTTCCTAGAATATAAAATCAGTCTACTGTTAGGCAAAACTTCCAGCTCATTCTAGGAAAATGTCTTGCCTGTTTGCTACATCTGGTCTTCAGTAGCCTTATCAGTCATAATCACGTGATCTTAAGCCCCTCAACCCTTGCATGGCAAATATATGTGTTTCAAGTGGGTTTGTCTTCCCTGATTCAGACTTCTCCTCTACAATTTAGGGGAAAAAAACTCAAATATTATTCCACAGCTGGCCCATTTCCTTACTGAAACCTAGACTAGTCCATGTTATGGACTAAACTGTGTCCATTGGAAAATTGATATGTGGAAGCCCTAAGCCTCAATGTGACTGTATTTGAATATGCAGCATTTAAAGAGGTAAGTAAGGACATTTAAAGAGGTAAGTAAGGCTAACTGATGTCTTGACGGTGAGGCCCTAGTCCAACATGACTGGTGTTTTTATAAAAAGAGGGAGAAGCACCAAGGATGAACATGCACAGAGAATCATCCATCTCAAGCCAAGGAGAGAGACACCTCAGGAAAATCCTGCCAGCTCTTTCACCTTGGACTTACAGGCTCTCGAAGTATGAGAGAGTAAATTTCTGTTGCTTAAGCCACCTATTCTGTGGTATTTTGTAGCAGAAGCCATAGCTGACATATGAGGTCCATTTTACAATTTTGTAATTGGATTAGAGGGTGTAAAAACCCCACCAAGATCTCGGCCGCCATTAGGAATGCTATTTAGTGATTCCCTCAATCTTCCTGTTACAATTCTTAACATGTGTGTCCAACGTCTCCTCCCCTTTCCTGGTAGCAGCTACCAGCTATCTGGCCTTGGGGGTAATACTGAATCCAGAATAAGCTAATTGCCTCACACTTTACTATAGTTGGTAATCATTCTGGGAAGAAGCCTAGGACCCACAATGCACCATCCTCAGCCCTTTTGTATTTTTCCTAAACTGAACTAAAAGCAACAACAACAAAAGGAACTTGAGGTTGAAAAGATATAAGCCTGCAATTGGAGAAACCCTCTTTGTGGTTGGAAGGAATGAAACTAACAGCAGAAAGAGGTACACATAAGAAACTGGAGACAGGGAGGGGACAGAGAATGAGAGAGAGAGAGAGAGGAGCCAACACTGAGGTCTCAACATCCAGGCATCCTGACTGTATCCTCTCCTTCCACTCTTTTTTATTTATTTATGTATTTATTATTCGTCTACTCTCATTTTCTGCCTAAATTACATCAAGTTGTTTCTCTGTCATTGGAATTCAGAGAGTCTTTCAAGTTCATGATTATAAAGAATATGAAAATTATTCTTCCTTAGCTTTTTTCCATCTGCCTTCTGACCTCCAACTCCTCTCTCCCTGCAAATTCACCACCCTTTTGGGGCCTCACCAAGAATATAATGGGGAAAATCAGAAAGAATAAAATCAGCAAAAAGGCAGGGAATCAAATGAATTTCCCCTTATAGTTTATAGCTCTGAAGCAATTTAGGTAAGTCCATTCAGAAGTGGGGAATTAAAATTAAAAATCAAAGAACTAGGGCATCTTGCCCACCCAGCCAATTCATAGCTCCCAAGCTCAAGCTCGATGGAGAATGCCTCAGGGTGTCTTTCCACAGCATTTCAACCTAAGAGATTTATTCATATTTCTTTTTTAGCTGCTTTTTAGTATCCTCACTTTATTCATCTAGTTCCCAGTAGTCACACACCTGATGAGGGCCGCTCAGGCCTCCACAGAGGCACCCCGTTTTTCTCAGGCAACTTGCTTTCCACCAAATCCTTATCTGTATCCTTCCTCTTCATGCCCTTGCACCACAAAGGCTTGAAATATTATCCTTTGGTATTGCTCCTTCAATTAAAACATATCAGTTTTGTAGCCTATTCCTCTAGGAGTCTGCTCAGTGA